CCCCCCCCCCCCTCCCCCCGAGTGATATGGCGACCAGAGCACCAACCACATTAGTTGTACAAGGTCAACTCATCCCCTTCTCCATGATAAAAGGCTCCCTGATGCACCACGGATGCGGCTAACACCAACAACAACACCTATGAAGAACCAGTCATTAATCTGTCTCCTGAAAGTTATATGGAGGAAGCATGTTCCATTCATCCGACGAATGAATCCCCGTTAAAAACAGGTGTGTAATGATGGAGAGCGACAGTTTTCCGCAGAGCCAAAATGTTGGTAGGGAATACGATGTTTGTTCAGTGCTGTTCGAAAATGCTCGGTTTGAAAAAAAATTTCATCCACAACTGTCACAACTTGTGTCATCACGAAAATTGAGTGTGGATACGAAGCTATGTGGGAATCCAGAATGCGCATCGCACCAAGGAAAGCCTAATCGATTTACTTCACTTGTTTGGTTACTCGCACATTGTAAGTAGCTTATATTCATTTCGTGTTGCTTCGCTACCAGGGGCAACCCATTCAACCGATTTAGGTCGTTGGATGCGTTTTAGGCGAAGTTCATCAGGTTTTCTTGAATGTGGCAAATGATACAGGTGAGCACAAAACGACCTGAATGCAGCATGTGGGCTTCCAAGCAGTGGTGAACTGGAAAATCTAATGGTTAAGCTGGACTTACAGTTCGTGAAGCAGAAAAATGCAAATCCAGCAAAGTTGTGCAGATATTTACAGATCACCGCTCGTGTGGAGAGAGATTTCACACAGGAACCCCGATACTCGGGCAGCCCACAGAACATCATACCAGGGTGATGCGAAAATAGCGAGATGATTACAAGCACACATCATCCGCTAATTCGTCATCCTACTGAGTCAGCAACATAAAGACAGAATTATATCTCTCGCTGAAACAAGCGATTAGCACGAATTTCAGGAAAGTATTGATGACTTAAGGCAAAAGCGCTAATAAATATCAGTCTTGTGTAAAGATCCTCTTCGGAAGCTCAACGGTTTCCGGGATAATTTTGGTGGATTCGAAAGGTCGACGCTTCCCATAGATTTGATCCGTCCGAAGTGAGTTGCGCTCAATTATCGCAAGTATTCATTGCTATCGCGGGGTAAAGTCACAGTCCTTGTCCATTCTACATGAATCAAACTTCACAAGTGATGGTGTGCGTGTTCCTTCTTACATACGTTGTGTGCCTGAAATTTCAGATCGCGATAACTGCCAAGGAAAGTAGCTTTGGTTCCCGTCACATTCATGTACTGGCGCTAAAAAGTCAAGTTGAAATGCACCGATTCCTCTGTTAAAGCCGATGAGCCAAATAAAGATTCTGGGAAATAAGTTTTGGATCCTGCCTTCACAAGTCACCATAACAATGCCTTTGACCTTGGATCAAGATGAACTACACGACCGCTCGGCGATTCCAACTCATTTGGCCGTTTCAGTGAAAGCCACCTATAACCTGTCCCTGACAGAAAACGTTTACCTCGCTTCACGGGGCCATGTATGTTCAGGAGATGCGTCAAACGCGTCAATCGATTGTATCAAAACAAATCACTCTGTGTTTTATCGTCCTGGTGCTGCTCTCTCTTTTATTCTGAATAGTGCGAAGCGCATCTTGTGAGGTGCAAATTAAATTGTAGCCTTCTGCGAAGATGAGTTGAAAAGTCACACTTATCGATCTTCCACGGAATCGTACGAACTGTGCTATCCTGGAGGACCCCACTACTTAACTATTGACCTCGAGTTGTCTACCTAATTAAGTATCAGTATTTTGCGGCCTGCGTCTCCTGGGCCTTCAGCTAACAGGTTCCCCCCATGCAGCTAGCCGTTCACTGATATCTACTTAGTTCACGAAAGATATTTTTTATCTGTTACAGTTAATGCCAATGGGTTGCTTTATTTGGCAGTGCGGTTAGTTAGCTTTTCGATGTCCGCTAATTTGCGTAGTTCCATTGAAAATAAAATAACACAACTTTCACACACGCTAAATTATTATATTTCACTGCATTCCCCTATCAAATAAACTACTGAGAAAAACTCTCCACAGTTTTCACAGTCATGCTTCGTACCACTTTACTAAACTCTGTTGCCAAAGGTATACATCAGTAGGCGCATTCGAACAATCCAAAACTTCAATAATGTCAGACGAAGTACATCCCTTTCTTTACCGGACACGAATATTTGACTGCCCCACGAATCCGGTCACCTGCTAGTGTTTGGTTCCCACCACACCGACACTTTGAGGTCATAGAGAACCTGTCGAAGCCCAAAGTGGAGAAAGCAAATCCGCGTGACTGTATACAAAGAAATGCCCATTGACAAATAAGTGTGTTTTGATATCAGTGAAGGTTTGTTAGAAATAGACAAAAAATCCAGGTCTATTGTTACAAAACCAGGAACAGCGATCCACAGGCAGCAAAATAACACCTAGCATGGACTCAAATAGACATTTTGAGATGGCGACCAGTAAACTACCAATATCTGCGATAGTAATCATACGTTAATCTCCACAAAATGAAGGCCACCTAACCTGAGTCACTTGAGATTGTCTCTGAAGTTGAAAGATCACATGGTCACATCTCCATCTCCAAACAACGTTATCCTCCTCCTCATCATCATCATCATTATCATCATCGACAGCATGACATCGGTGTTCAACACCGATGCTTCACTGCCGTAGTCTGAAGAGAAAATAAAGGTAAATGGGGAAGGAACTTTAAACAAGCTTACTAGAGTCATTCCGAGATGCCTACACATCCAAACGCTCATTCGGGATAATTACTGACGAGAGAATAATTACCATCGATTAGCGTCCATATCTTGCAACGCCCCCGATCAGACGTAGTAAGGATAACGCGCTTGAGGAGAAAGGAGAGCAGCACCTACAGCACCCAAACGTTTCGTAATCTCCTTCATAACCCTCTGTCAGCTCGAGTTGCCCACCTCTCTGTTTAAGCCACTCTGAATTGAATACGGAATACAGCACTCTCCTCCGCAAACGATGGTTAAACAAGTGAGACAGATGGCCTAAACAGCGCAGCTCCTGGACACATTCTTCAATGGAAGTACCCGTTGCACAACCGAAAACGCGCTTTCTAACTGCATTATTACGGAATCGCCGACACGAACCCACATGAGCTATGGTTCTGAGGCAACGATTGTCAAACAGCTGAAGACCTCTCAGTTCCGCTGCTCGCCACAACTCACAGCCTTTCAACAAGACAGCCTGCACTGTAGCTTGATACACACGTCACTTGAGATTCAGGGGTACAATACTCAAAAAGACGTCTAATTTCAGTGTCTCCGAGGAATTGAATGCCATCCCAACAGAGGGCCAAATGAGAGGTTAATGCAGTTGGTTTTCTTGTTTTTAAACTTACAATTATTACAACACCACAACAATTTTTATCTGCGAGACATACAATTACCATACTCCCCCCCCTGTAAGAATCACCTTTCAGCTTAGATCTGAGTAAAATGACTCGTGTATCAAATCGAACTGCACAAATTTGACGGTAAAGTGCTCGAGGAATAAAGTCTATTTGGAAGCAGTCAAATTTCTTTCACCGTGAAGCAGCAGTTATTTCCGCCATCGATACGGAGAGATTCGAAGGAGATTTTCCGTCTTTCAAGTACCCGCTAAATACGTCAACCAGGCTGAACATGAAACCAGGATTTACGTCGACGCATTCAGGAGTTCAAACATCCGTGTGCCGAAGTTTATCACTGTGCATAGTAGAGCGTCCAAGTATAACGGTGATACTACTTATGGGGAGGCATGCGAGTAGTATGTGTTGTTCTTGTAAATTTGCTTTGCGTCCTTTGAAAAGGGGAGATCCGTTGCGGAATTTGTGGAGTCGCTTTGTAGCATTTGCTTAGATCTGAGCAATGAATGATTGGAGTCAATGAATATCCAAAAAAGTTCAAGAAGACGCGTTCAGCAGAAGATGGATGTCCAGTTTTGGTGAATAAGATGCAAATGAGAGTTTCGTTTCCCTGTCCAATAGTCTGTAACCGGTCAGTTGGCATTTTCTAATAAATAATTCCGTAGCGAAGGCCTTCTTCCTTTCAAAAGTAGTTGGATAAAGACTGGTAAGTTGTACTATGATTGGTGAGCTGGTTTTTATGTCTTTCTGGACATGAGTAGATCGATTCAAATTTCAACTTCACCTTTACCTGAACTTGGTATCAGGAAAACTGGTCCCAACTGCATCAATCTGAAATTGTTGATCAAACGATGATTCCGTTCGGACCCGTCTGGTGATATCCAATAATAGTAAAAGTCATGGTGCAGAATCCTACCACATCCTTCCTATCGGTATTACGCGCATTATATTCATGCTTTTCGTGGTATTGCTCAATTTGAGTAGATTTGCAAGGCATCTTTCGACCAATCAGTTGTTTCGGCTTTGCTTAGCGCTTGGTTGGCCTTGCATATATACTCAACAGCCTTACCATTATCAGTGTCATTGTTCTGAGAAAGAATGCGTTGCTACTTCCGGAATAAGAGAGAGAAGACAGTCAGACGTGTGTACGCAAACGGCCTACAAACGATTGATCCCGTGACATTAAGACCGTTAAATAAGTATGCGGATAATAGGATTATTTCTTCCAGCTACACATGGTGGAACTTTGTATTCTTGAATTTATATGAACAGTTTCATTTTGTTTCCAACTTTACTTTCCTGTCACTTTCATTCCTATATCTATTTGCTCAAGGAGCCATCAGTGCTTTTGCTTACGTTGTACCATTTGTGTTTGCTGTGTTCATAGCTATGCTAAAAGAAGGAATTTACGATATTTTTCGACATATTGAAGACAGACGGGTAAACAATAAACGTTTCAGTGTTTTAGAGTTTGATACAAATAACAATCAGCTCGTCTGGATGGAAAGAACTTCCTCCTCGTTGCAGGTTGGTCAGATCGTTCGCTGTGTCGCTGATCAGGAAATTCCATGTGATCTCGTTCTGCTTGCATCTGATGGTTGTAAGAGAGAGGTTCGCTTAACTACGGCAAATTTGGATGGCGAAACTTCCGTAAAGACGCATTATGCTCTGAATAAAACTTTCAAAAACTATGGGAAAATCTTGTCAATGTTTCCTAACGACATGGGAATTAGACACGTTACTCAGTTCAAACCATTGCTGGTAGAGGTCACATATGAGGCGCCACGCGCCGACCTCAATTGTTTTGAAGGAAACCTGATCACGTCGACTTCCAAGGGGACCGAAAATTCGACGCCCATATTGGTCGAAAACCTGGCTTTCAGGGGTGCGGTTGTACACAGTACTGGTGGCATTCTGGGACTTGTCGTCTATACCGGGGTGGACACAAAATTGTCAATGAATTCCAAAAAGCGCGGTCGGAAATACAGTTCCAGGGAGGACAAGTTAAATTTTGTGCTCACTTTGTTCTTGGTCACATCCATTTTGTTGTGCGCGATGGGTACTACCCTGGCGACCGTGTGGAGCACACAAGGAGCAAATTTTCCGTGGTTTGTCTCTACCCGCCTGCCCACACGATTTTCCTACGTGCGAACACTGATTTCGTTTGCGTTCATTGCAAACTTTTTGGTTCCCGTCTCACTTATAATTACAATTGAGTTGCAAATGCTTATGAACTCCTACTTAATCACACATGATCCTGAATTTTTCGACCCTGAGAGAGGACTGGGGGGCTCGGCCAACTCAGTACACTTGGCTGATGAACTGGGTCAAATTGAGTTTCTATTCAGTGACAAAACTGGAACCTTGACACTGAATCAAATGGTCTTCAAGGCGTGCAGTATCTTGTCCGATGATGGTATATACGTGTTTGACGGTAATGACGTCCGCCATCTGAAGACTGAAGCAGGACAACCATGTGTAAGAGTGACTGAGATGCAACAGTCCAATGTTTGGACAGATGGCAGCGCACTTCCAGTCCACCTGATGGAGTTTCTCACGGTGGTGGCTCTTTGTCATACGGTAGAAACTCGACCAGACATAAATGGGGAGAGTGCGAAATTTGCAGTGAGTCCATGACATTGAATATAATTATTTTTTTTGGGAAAAGTGTCTATATTTTTCGAATTTTTGTAATGGCAATAGTTCGATTAGAGCAGCAGCCCAAAGTATGCAGTCATTTTGATTGTTCTGATGACCATCAATTTTGGGGCCAAAACATCGATATAGATAAGAATTGACAAAAAGACATCAATTCTAAGCGTCCGTTTCTCCATAACCAGGCAGAAATACAGGCAGAATGACCGATAATGTGGGAAATCCCTTATTGTTAACCTTATTCAACCGGGAGCAGCTGAGGCGCCTGATTCAGCTGCGATTCAGGTGATCAACTCAGCGGCCTGATCGGAAATATTTATTTTCGACAGTGCGTTGGATGCCTTCAGAAAGATTAGTCTCGACAGCAGATTTCGCTTATATTCCACCTATCCGATTCCTTTCCTGAAAAAACGTGCTTCAAAGATCATATCCTAATGGAAGCCTGCTGTCAGCAACTATATTCAGTCAATTAGTTAGGAAACATACGGCCTAATTACGCATAGCCCACTGAAGCTGAGTGGCCTTGAATGCATCAAGCGTGTAGACAAGTGCATCCAACATATGCCGTGTAAGCCAATCGAATCAAAATATCGATCAGGTAGATGACCAGACGATTGGCGTCAAGCTTGTTCGCCCTTGACCAGCCTATGGAAATTTTGCTCACGCGTGCGCATCAGCGGCACGAATAAGTCTGCCTTGCAGCTGATTTGGGACGTGAATGTATGCTCGTCTGGTATTTAGTCGTCGTTCATTGTGAGTGACTGATCGTCTGACCATCCAAAGTACACGGGGGCCTAATTCCTAATATACCATTTAGGCGTGTTCCCCAGTGGAAGCCGCTGATGCTTAGGTCATGTACACAAACAGCCTGCTTCCGGTCGGCGAGAGATAAGAAAATACTCGCTTGTAACATGGCAAAGTTGAGAATGGAGACGCCGTTTATTTACTGCGCATTATAGCTACACTTTAAGATCTCCCGATCAAACAAAGTTATAGACATTATAGACCTGTTGAAAAAATGTGGCGTTTTTTCTTCACAGAACATACTGGTCACAGGATTGCCGAACGAATTTTCATCCTTAAGTATTTCATCGGGTGGCCACAGTTCGCAAGTATTTACCGATCTTTTGTTCTACTTGAAAACAGACTGTACACACTCTGTGATGAATAATATCACAATAATTAGTGATAAAGTCGATTCGGCCGTTAACATCAGTAGAATTTACAAACGAGAGTACTTTATCTAATTCGGCACTGTTTCACGGCGGTAGGGCCCGGAACATGTTGGAAGAGAGCTATCTTATAAGGGGGTTCTACAAACTTATCTTCTGAGGAACAGCTTTCATTTTTGGTGGCGAGTGTGAATTTCAAAAACAACGGATTTGTTAATGTAGCGGCAGTTCAAGAAGGCAGCCGTATCCAGCAGCTCGGTTGCGCTCTCAAATGCTGTCCTTAAAGAACGGTCACTGCTTATGGTGCTCCTGAAGACAATCGAAAATAAAGGAGTGTATCTACATTTCCCCATATGACATATCAGGAATGCTTCGAGAGTGATCCCTATCTACGTTTACCAGGACAAGTCATACAAATCCAGGTAATTCTGGATACTGTGCTCGACGCATCACGCAAGATTCACCTTGTAAAGATTGCAAATGGTATGCTCGAACTCTGTCGTGCAGACTGCAGGATAACGTACACATCATGCACAACTTATGGATTGTGTATATCGACATTTTATCACATGACCTCATCATCCTCTCTCTCTTAAAGAATGGCTGAGGGTGGAGCAAAGCACCTGATGCGTTCCGTGTGACAACGTTTAACTACATAACGGTCTACAACCCGGAACAGGTTGCAAGAGATCCACAGATGGCAGGTCAGTCTGTTGAGCCCAGAATTTAGTTCAGTATTATGTTACGCGATGAAACACCCCGCATTTCGCGAATCAAATGCAGGTTAGGTCAGATGGCGCAGAATGCACTGATTCAGGAGGTGTGTCAATAGTGACACCAATCTTTGATTGCCTCTTGTTCTGTCTGAGGGTTTCACGTGTTTGATTACTGCCGTTGGGATGCCCCAAACAGATACGTGTGTTCTGTGTGAACAGCTAATCTCGAGACTGCTCACTTCCTACGATCCTGACAAAACAGACTGTGTTTAACATTCCCATTTCGGTTTATAAGACTTGATTTTCTTACTCAAAGAATATGTTTGCATGACATGTGCAGCACATGTGCAGCTAAATGTGAGCGACGTAGGATTGATGTTCGCCAGGTATTGCTGGTGTTCCATCCCGCAGAACACCTTTGATTTCTTTCGGAGAGTTACTGAATTTATCGCATTTGAGTCCACATCAAACTGACTTAAACAACAGTCCTTCTGAACTCGTGCAGAAACTATCCTTGATCAATGCTACATGGATCAATCTTAACGCAGTCAAAACGTCTATTTTCTAAATTTAGGCTACATCCCCGGACGAGAAGGCTCTGGTTGAAGGAGCTGCAAGGCTTGGTGTTTCACTGATTTCCAATAAGCCACATCCGAACATCCAAGGTGGGCGTCTTTTGGTGCTACAGAGGCAACTAAAGCAGGACGTCAATGATAAAACCTCAAATTGTGGAATCGGGACAGCTACCGAAGAGTATATTGTCGACGCTACTCTGGAGTTTGATCCAGTCCGCAAGCAAATGACCGTGATGGTCCAACACCCAGATGGGACATTTCATATTCACAGCAAAGGTGCCGAAACTGCAATTCTGGAAAAAAGGGTGAGTTTTTTAGGCTAAACAAAGTCTGGTTTTTTTCTACTCACAGTTGGATGGGCCGAGTTAGGCCCTCACTCAGCTACATGGAACGTTGCATTGTAATTTAAGTATTTTGACTGCACACGAATAGGAGGAACAGTGGAGACCGAGTAGCTGTTCAGCTGTTGTAGTTATCCTTCTCCAAAATAGTTCTTTGAAGAGGTTGCTACTGAAAAGGGCAGTAGAACAACGGGTTCAAGTCGGTATTTCACCAAACCGCAAAATCGACTATATTTGTGCACCCTGAAGCTCTTTTTCCATCACTTTCAATGAATAAAAACAACTTCTCACAGACACTGTGAAGGAGTTTGTACTTTGAGTTGGAGTAGAGTCGTCTGAAAAATTCCAGGGCGACTTCCAGTATTCTACTTTGCCAACGCTAGCCAAAGTTGGCAATGAGCCTTTGTGATTTTTCTGAGCGGCGGAATTTTCAGTGGACGGAAAACACTTTGGTCCCACAAGATTTTGGTGTAACGGAATTCTTTGCGGTCGAATCCTCCATCCGTTCCATCCGTTATGTTTGGGGGGACTACAGAACTGTTCGTCGAAACGACACTTTTTATACGTTTGTGGTACAACTGTCAAGATTATACGATTGCTAGAGGAAGTGTGTCATGAGTCTGCACTAAATTTCCTCCATCCTGCTGGAGTTAGTTTTCCTTTTTTTCCTGTCTAGACAAGCAGCCGCTCCACAAACCCTCTCCACTCAAAAGCTTTGGAACAGGTGAATGAGTTCGGCCTAAGTGGTCTTCGAACTCTGGTGTATGCAACAAAGCAGATCACTCGTGACGAGTATTACGCACTCCTGCGAGAACGTCAACAGGCACTGAGGCAGTTTGGAGAGGCTAGAGTTCGGGCGTTGAAAGCAAGCAACGACAACATTGAATCTGGTCTGGAACTTATAGCCGTTACCGGGGTGGAGGACACACTACAGCCTTGTGTGAATGAGTGCCTGCAGAGCTTAAAAACAGCCGGTATAAAGGTGAGTGCAAAAGTAATTTCTTCAAAGGTCAAGTGACTTGGTTCATAATTGTGACGCCCTAAGCACGTTAAATAGCCTTACGTTGCTGCCCGCCGAATTTACGGAATTCGCAGACCTCGGTTGATCGGAACACTAGCTCCATGCACGCACTCTGTAAACTATAATCGATCCGTGCGGAATAGAATGTGACTTTGCATCGATGCCTTCAAAATCAACAGAACGAGAAGGTTTGTCAGTGCTATTGTGTCAGCTAAGATGCAAAAAACACTGCGTGACGAAGATTCTCTCACCAGTGAGGCTGCCGTTTGTTCCTGTGACAGGATGTTTGTCTGCGGAGAGATCATCCAGTTGCGATAAGTATCCTTCTGTGATCGGTTTGATTGTACCTAGCATATGTTTGGGACTCGGAAACTTCATTCTGATTCACTGTATCAGTAATCAGAATACGAGGGACAATATCTCATCACCAACAACTGGTCAGTACGTTTCTTTCAATAGAATGACGAACCTCGTTATCCCCCCTGCTGCAGACAAAAACAATGGCCAGTTGGGTGATGAAATGTTCAGCTACTTCCCTACAGTCAGTCTGACTGTTATAGGAGCAATTCATTGGGAAACAATCTGGGGTTAGTGAGTCTACTGAAAAGAAGAAGAGCGAGAAAGGCTACGAAACCTGAGTGACTAAATCATCACCGTCTTCGTTGAGATGTGTATGGATGTGCGGTCATTATTCGACTGCAGATTGAACTTGAATGCTACTGTATTTGGAATCATATGAACGTAGTAGGAGAGTTAAAACGATGTACTCCAACTGCCACAGAAACCCTCCCTGAGCCCACATTGTGACCTAACATCACATCCATTTGTGTCCTACTTGCGTCTTTACTTGACTTCAAAGAGATTGTGCCAGTAGGACCAAAATCAGCGCGACAGATCAGCTCGAAAGAACAGACTCCATCATGCATTCTGCGTACTTTTCAAGGTCAAGGTCACAAAATGACTCACGTTCAGCCTCCGATGGTTCCGTCGGGATGGGGCAAGCGACCAGAAGGAAAGAACTTGTAGCAAAAAATGAGCTGCTTTTATTAGATTCTGCGCACTTTCTCCCCCACGGTTTCAGTGTTTTTCTAGCGAATTTGTGAATTAATTGACATTACGTACGGTTTCGACAGATTTTTGTGTATGGACCACTCTCAAGCGAGATATCCAAAAAATTGACACAAATGAGTCTCTCCTGACTTTGATATATCAAACAGGTTTGAAGTTCTGTGTCGATAATCAGATTCAGGACACCTCCTAAGGTCATGCGTGATTACGAATAAGATTGCGTTCTCCGTTTCAAAGAGGTTTGTTAAACAATCGGTGGATTTGTTGCTCGGCAACGTTTCGCTTTTGACACAAAAGTTTCGTCAGGCCAATTGAGTAAGTAGGTTGATTAGGTTTTAAGGCACTCAGGGAACCAATCTGTAAGATTTCTTATGACTAGCCGACTTGATCAGTGCTGGGTGTTCAATCTGATGTTCCTGTTTGTTGATTAATGGGGATGACTGAGATTTACGATAGATTGGTTAGGCGAGGTCGTCTTTATGATGAACCCGGATTTTTTCGTCCTTGCTTCTTCAGTCTAGGACACCTTCATGGAAAATTCCCCTTGGGGTCGTTCACAGAATTCGTTCACCTGTGTTCGTCCAAGGGTGCCAGGACCATTGATTTAGGGATGGGGGTGGGGTTTTAATTGTTGTTGTTGTACTTTTACTCCCATACCATTTCGCTGATAACTGCACACCCCCCCTCGGTCATCTTGGCTGATCTAAGACCGCTGTCCACACGTTTTCACTTTCTACCCACTCTTTTCTATTTACGCTGGGAAGCTTGGCGATTTCCACCGCCTCGGCCACCAGTCACTGTGGTGTGAATCTCAGGATGTCCACATTTTCTAGATATATCCTGTGCCCAATGTCTAGTGCATGTCGAATCTTCGACCATCGCCTGGTATTCATCTACGTTTCTCGGTGATCTATTAATGGAACGCTTATGCTTACCGATTCTGGTGTGCAATTCCCTGGCTGTCTGACCTGTTTAAACCTTCGTACAGTCGTTACGTTTTATTTTGTATGCTAAAATGCTACTCTAACGTAAGCCGTATTCAGTACCCTTCTAAAGACTTCATATGTTTCTGTTTTGAGTAGAATGACCACTGTTCCGATCCACCCCTTGTTGGGTCCTGGTGTTGGCACCAATACCCGTGTTAGTTGCGCTTAATTAAACCCACTGGGTATCCTCAATCAAGTTTTACATGGTTGCGACACGTATAAAAATGAATACAATGCGAAATTGGAGCAAGTCAAAAAGGAACTTATCGTATGTGAGAGTTCCTTGGTGAAAGTCCGGACGGCGGTAACGTGTTTTCTCCGCA